GAAGAGAATTCCTCAAAACTAGTAAGAGAATGAAAGCGATTACTGATAAAGAAAAAAAGTAGAGTAAAGCAGCATGATTTATCAAAATAAAATGTTTGGCTAGCATCATGAGTCTAATTCCAATTCTAAAGGAACCATCAGATAAAAGAAAGAAATTTCGGACAATGTAGCACAGAAAAGAAGTAGGGAAATATAGAAGACAAAAGGCTAAACATTAAGGACGGGACCTGAAATCATGGCCCCACTCTGAGATGCAATGAGCTTCATCAACAGCGAAGAGACAAATTCCTGCCTCTAGCAATTTCAACCAGAAGCTACAAAAAAAGAAAAGAAGAGCATTTTCATCCTAAGTTGATCATAAAAAGTAAATGCATGTGGCAAATTAAAGATGGGGGGAGAAGAAGCTAGAACCTGAGAGGGGTGGAGCAAGCCTTTTCAGGTGTCATGAACAATAAATGAAAATGACCAGTCTGAGCTTTGGTATGGACAGAACCATCAGTCTGAGCACTTCCAAGAAACTCAGCTCTGATTCCGCGTTGTTTCAAACTCATAACCTAATTAAATGAGCGCATTTCATTCCTAAATTGACATGCATTGATGCATACAAGTATAGCGGAAATAAAATTAATTGGGAATGCAAATAAATAAGGACGTACCTGATCTTGCATCAAAGAAATAAGGGGGCTTATGACTACGGCAGTCTTTTCAAGAAGCAAAGGAGGAACCTGGTAGCTGTAGTTTAGCCACACACACACACGATTGTGAGAAAGCAAAAGGGTTAAAAATTATTGTATAAAATGTAGGGTTGGTATTGGTGAAATGGTACCATAAAGACTTTCCGCTGCCAGTGGCCATGACCGCTAAACAGTCCCTCTTGTCCAGAATCTGATCGATCACCTCCTTCTGGTAAGCCCTGAAATTCGCATACCCAAAGTGTTGCTGTGTACCCAAATCAAACAAACCCACTCAGTATAATTTCAACAATGATTAAATAATTGATTTTTTTTCTTTTTGGTTAATCAATTGTGATTTATGGTGACAAACAAACTATACTACAAAAACGAATTGCTGCAAAAAAAAAAAAAGGTAAAACCAAAGCGAAATAAGAGGAGGGTGAGAGCTTGCGTTTAAGTTTCTAATTTTAAAAAAAAAGAACCTTAAGCGTGGATAACATTGCTTGCCGTGATGTGCTACGCTGTGTGGTTTCTGGTACGAGAAATCACACACATCGGCTAATGCCCTGCTCTTGTACTCTCTCTCTCTCTCTTTCCCGCTCTTTCTTCTCTTGCCATCTTTTAGGTCCCCGTACCTCATGGGCTTCAGCCCACACTCCAGAGGCCCGTGTTTTTTCTCTTTTTTATTTTATCATATTTTTCTGAAAAAAACAAAAAAAAATGAAAATTGAAAATGAATTAACTGCATACATGCATTTGTATGTCTCGCAGTTGCAGCCCTCTCCATAGCCATAGGTTCATCCGAAAAGCAACCAATTAAACACATACTTGTTAACATGGTTTCACAAACAAAGCTGTAATTTTCTCTCCAACCATTGCTTGTTCATCTGATTTTGACCTTAAAAAAAAAAAAAACAAAAACAAAAGATATTATCGTCTTCTAATTTACTAGCGAACAGACATGACTTCTCAGCAACTCCCTGTATTTCATCTCAAGTCTAACAGCCATACCACAACATCATAAAAGTACACATGACTGTCTGTGTATTTGAATGCACTGTATTTTCAAGAAATACATATGTTCCAACTTCCTTCCTTCTTTTAACAAGTCTCTCTTAGATACATCATCTATGAGAAAAGCAATCTGTATCCATCTGCCTCTTGAGCCATCTCCTCCATGCTTCTGTCACTCCTTTCCTCGTCTAAATCCAGCTTCCTCTTTAATTCCTTTTCCCTCTCGTCCATCTATATGACACCCACACAATCATTTGTTACACTCCAATTGATGCATGGAGCATAAAGATCAGGTAGCAAGCACAAACAGTGTAGGGTATACGTATTGTATAACTTACTGCATCATAGATCTCATCATTCTTCTCAAAGTCACCCTCTTTTCTTGGGATGATGTGAACATGAACATGAACATGAACATGGGGCACACTCTGTCCTGCCCGCGGCCCATCCTAAAACACCAATGAACTTCAATTGGTTAGTCTTCAAACACCCAGAGCATGCATGAATTACCTAGGGGCTCTGATAACAAGCAAATACACTCATTCTAACCAAATAAATAAATAAAATAAGAGATCGTGTGAGTTTACTAGGAACTATCTTACTTGGATGGTAAATGTGAGAGATGTTGCCATGTAAAAACTCTCAAGCTGCCTGCCAACCTTCTTTGCCGTGAGCCATAAATCACTGGTCTCATCAGCACTGAGATCAATAAAGCGCTTCACTTCACGCCTTGGACAGACAAGCACATGTACAAAATGTAAAGGCAACAAAATAGAACACTCAACTACGCGTATCATTCATGATATATGATTCAAAGTATACAGACATCAAGAAACTCGATCAACAATCTTAAGAGCATATTACCTTGCATGAAATGACTGCAGCACGTGAGATATTATCAGCTATGTCATGTTTTCTTACAATGTCATTGTATAAATGCTGGAGACATGCAAATTGCAAGTGCTTTTAATGTTCTGGGCCTAATGGTACTAACGGTATGCTCTTCAGTCAACTCACTTGTGTAAGGTTGTCCAGCTCTATTATACACTGATTGCCAGAAAGCAGATAATTCATGAAGTTTTCAAACCCCAGACTGCATGCACACAATGTTAGTGTGATTTGCATGCATGTACTCAGAAAGGTTTTCCTACTATTCAAGCTTTTTGACTTGTAGTATAGGAGCATAATAGCATATCTATGTCCACAAATTCATCAATGCACCAAGCAAATAATAACACATTGAATTAATTCAGCTCTGCCCGTTTCTCAAACAGTTCACCCAAGAGAATTTCAATGAGACAACAGATGCTGCTCAGATAAATCTCAAAAAATCATTAAGACTTTTGACAGAAAAGGATATGACCTGCAGAGGAAAAGGGACATAAATAAGAACGAGAAGAAAGGTAGGTTGAGCAAGAATACAGAAAAGTAAAATAAATCTAATAGAGCATGCGCAATTGTGCACATTTGATGGATCTCTAGTTGTTTACTGGTGCAACTTTTTCCAACCATTAGTAGTAGGTGGATTTGGATTTTTAATAGCTTCCTTGTTCAGTTGGATGATTAATAACACAGTTTCTGGTTATGCTATATGTTCAACTTGCTGTAGTTTGTGAAAAAAGATACAAGATGATTTTTCTCCGACTACGATGTGAGTAAAGAAATTGAAGGAAAGCAGAACATAAGAGAACATGTTGCGTTTAACAATAATCACCAATAGATGATCAGTATCTATAATAGTGATTTTTCATTTTTCTTGATTCCAGATAACAATCTTGATGTGGTTTTATTTAAAATCGAGACAGATATAAATGAAGAATTATTCATTTCCCTTACAAAATTAAAACTTTATCACTCATATGCAATGAAAACTAAGAACTGAACAACGGAAGATTGGGAGCTTCTACAAAGTTCACTCGTTCACTTTCCAATGAAAAATTGAGTTCAAGTAGATAGATATAACAAAATTCCTCCCTGAAGGTTAAATTCTTAATTCCACACATTCTCAGTTCTCAACCAAAAGCAACTAGAGTCACTACAAATACTTCGACATTGTAAGCAACATAAATTAATCCCAAAAGAAAATCGGATTGCAATCTTAGTCTTGATAAAAAGCAAGCCACTAGTACAGATATGTGATACATAATAAATCCTACAATGAAATGCAACCAGCACCTCACCCTAAAGAATCGAGTATCGATAAACACATAAGAAGAAACAGAATTTTAAAAAAAGTCACCGACTTCATAGTTCAATCACCCTAAATTACAAATATTGGATAACCAAAAATTGCAAGAATTTCCTATCTGCGAAGTTTGGAGAAAGTGCATTATCCCAAAAGATTAGTAATTGACTCCTCAATCAATTAACCAAAAATTTGCTTTCTTGAGGTTGACTCATAACTACCATTAAACCACAAGAAAAGGGAAGGAAACAATTAGTTTAGTTATCAACTAAACTCACTCAGGAATGCAATTTTGGCTCGTTAATGTACAAATATTATACCACAAGATTTTAGCTATTAGAACCTTATGAAATACTATAGCTTGTATTTGTATGAAGTTATCACTTTATTAAGATTTTCGTTGATCATAGACAACTTATCAGCTAAGTGAAAATAGTACTCATAATAACACAGAAGCTCTAAGGTGTATATAGAAGTACAAACCAAGAAGAACGGGACGGAGGTTGACCGTAGCATAAGAAAGATTGGTGGAGTAAAAGACTTGTTTTGGGTCTATTTTGTGAGGCCCGAACTGACAGTACTCCGTCGTCATCGAAGTCGACATCTAATCAGGGATCATTTAGGATCATTATCATCATAATAAGAAGATGAGAAGACAGCTTTTCTTCGTTTACCTTGGTGGTGGAAATGGGCCGAAATCCTTTTGAGGAATAACAACGATGAGGACGAAGAAGAAGACGGCAGTTGTCTATACTATTGCTATGTGCCTCGTTTACCATTCTTTGACTCTTGAGAGAGGCTTCTGATTCGTTTGAAAAAACCAAGTGGGCCCCTGTCGGATTGGTCGCAAGTTAGCAACACGTTGCGAGTTCGAACAGGGAGACTCAACCTTCTCATTCACAAGGGCTGAGGTGGCCATGTTAGTCCCTCAACTTCTTTTGATGTAAGAGATTGGCTGTGTAAGAGTTGATTAAAAAGAAATTTAGTCTTGATACATTAAAAACATAGGAATGGGACCCGATTGGAAAGGTTATGTTTTAGGAGTTGTATCGAAAATTATGATGATAATTGAGGGACTAAAATGTGAAAAGGGGATTGTAGATAGATCAGCCAGATAAGGTTGTCTGAAACTGGCTTCATTTTTGTTCGGCCTTCCCACTTTTTTCTCATAGTTTTGCTTCCAAAGCACCACAACTGTTGTACAAGCAAGTGAAGGAGGAGAAAGAAAATGTTAAGCCTAGCTGTGGGGTCATCAGTTGCTGCAATGAACAAGGTTTCCATACATCATACTGTGAATTATGGTAATGGTAGTGGGAAATCTACAGCCACACAGTTCGGCTTTATCAAGGGATCACAACAACCACCCCCTCTCCTTTCTACTACTACCAATATTTCCTCCTCCTTTAAGACTGCCGTTGCCGCTGTTGATTCCAACGATCTCACTTCCTCTCCCACTCCTCCTGACAAGGTTCTTCAATTTCTTCCTCTTTCTCTCTTCTACCTCTGCTTACTCCACTACTCATTTACATGTTATATTAAGATGTTATTCATTGATAGAATGCCTAGAAATTCCTTTTCTTTTACAATGCCAATTGATCAATACTGTGAAAATTGTCACTTCATCATCATTTTCCTACAAATTACAAACTCCCATGTTGTTGTTTACTCCAATAAATCATGCATGTATAACTGGCAACACAACTAGGAAATTCCCAGTTCCTCCTATAAAGAAAACCCCCATTTTGGATCCTACTTGGAAGGCATCAGGAACCTATACATGCTCAGAGAATGTATTTGCAATTTTTTTATTTTTTTTATTTTTTTGCATGAAGCAGTCCCAAAACTTTACCTTTTTCTTGTTGCATTACAGCAAGAAGCCAACAAGTACTACTTTGTTGTTGCCAACGCAAAATTCATGCTGGATGAAGAGGAGCACTTCAAGGAGCTCTTGTTTGAGCGCCTTCGTAACTATGGAGAGCGTAACAAGGAGCAGGACTTTTGGCTTGTGATTGAACCCAAGTTCTTGGACAAATTCCCCAACATCACCAAAAGACTGAAGAGACCCGCTGTTGCTCTAGTTTCAACTAATGGCACATGGATGACGTAAGAACATTCTTCCACCCTTCATCGTTTAGACTACAAGTTCTCATAATTCCTTGTTTCTCTGTATGCTTCCTAGCTTATACTTAGCATTTGATATCTGAATTTTAATTTTTATAACTACCTAAGGAAGAGCCTTCACCAGAGTTACTCTAAAACTTCAAGACATGGATGATAATGTTTAGGCCTTGGAGGATTGAATGCTGTGGTTTATCATTTGGAGGGCACAACCACAATCTTATTCAGTTTTTCAGTATGTCTAACAATATTCCCCGTGCTGCCTTCTTGGTTGCAAGACAATATGGTATTATGTGACTTGTTTATTCATAATATGTGTAGCAATTGACAAAAGTATAATTTCACTTGCTTAGTATGCCAACCACGCTCACGCATTTTCAAAGTCTGCTCATCAGCCTACTGAATTGAACAAGATTCATGAATCAAGCTCTTAAAAACAGAGTTGTCTAGGCTTGTACTTAGCTGGAGCATGCCTACCTTGGCTCTGACACTCCTTATCCTGGAAATTATTGGGATTTCCTTTTTTATGAAAATTTTGCACTTCTCCTGTTTGTTTGTTTGGTGAGGTGCAAGGGGATTCTTACTAAAGAGCCTTGTTGCCTATCTGTTCATCACATATGCAGTATGTTAAAAATCATCTTCATTCCTCTAGAAAGATAAGATTCTTATGTGTGTTTGTGTGGTGTGTCCTTGGGCTTATCTCTCTTGCTCCTCATGGATGTGGCTTCCCATTTTGTGGTTTGGCAGGTTTATGAAATTAAGGTTGGACCGTGTTCTATCTGACAGCTATGAAGCTGACACCCTAGAAGAAGCATTAGCCTCGAATCCTACTACTATAGAGTTTGAGAAGCCAGAAAACTGGGTGGCACCATATCCAAAGTATGAATATGGATGGTGGGAGGCCTTCTTGCCTGCCGAATCAAGAGAATCAAAAGTATAGAACATTTTGCCTAGTTGATTTTCTTCCGTCTTACCAAGAAGAATTTTCATTGTATCTTAGATAATAGCAGTCTTACCAAGAAGGATTTTCATTGTATCTTAGATAAGAGCACCCTTAGCTGCTGGAATCTGCATGCAGCTTTATGAGTTGGTAAGATGGTCAAACTTGTTAAGAGCCTTGTATGTTTGAAAGATTTTGTAACTTGATATCTATAATTCAGCAAAGAAGTGTCTTTAAAATAGCACTGTGAGCACTCCAATCTGGTACAATAACCTATTCAAATATGAGGCTGTTCTTTTTTGCACTTTGTTTAAACCAGCCATGGCATTACATTGCTCCTTTGTTTTGAAGATGATAAATGGTTTACTTTCTCTGTACCATGTACTCCCAGGAAATCCAAGTTTGCCTTTCACAAATGGTAAAACAGAGAAAAACTACTAACCACTGCAATATGCATATTCTTAATGCTGCTTATGATGCTTCTCGGAACCAAAGATTGGGAGCTTCTGCAGAACATTTTCATTCAAGACAGCAGACTGCTTCTTCACTTCAAACCACAACTTCTCAGCATAAATGTCCACAGCATCTTCATTTTTCTCATACAGCATTGGCGCTGTCATTAGCATTACAAACACTACACGAACCATGTAACACTGTATCAGAACTTAAGCAATGGAAAATAGAATACCAAAGAGACGAAGCCCAATCACGCCATGGATTTACTTAGAAAACAAAAGGCATTAAAAGAGATTAAACAGAAGCTCACATAGGTATAACAAAGTCAAAAAACTGAACCAGCTTCCTATAACAGAGAGAACCCACAGAACCGCAATCACCTGCAAATCAAATTGCACATCATGGTTAGAAAAGTTGCATTTTAAAGTGCTGCAAATTGCAAAGCCTTTGAGTGAATGAAAAGGTACCTTAAGAAACTTCTTCAAATCCTTCCCAGAAGCTACATCCTGGAAGGATGTAAATGCGCGGTTGATGATGCTCCTAAGCAAGAGAAAGAAATTCACAACCAGTTCATCCGGCAGGGTTACCTCGGGGAGTTTTGGGGGCGACCTGCATCATCAAGTAGAAACAAGTTTGATAACTACTCTCTTCCCTAAAATTACAACAGAAATCCCCTTATGCACGATCCTGGCGGTAATTTTCCTATTACCACTAAAATGTCGAGAAAACCAATAAAGATACTACAAGGATGAGGCGCGGTGTTGAGGAAAATATAAGGGGTTGAAATAAGAGGAACTCACACATTGATGTAGGACGCTAAATTGGACCACAGGAAGACCGTTGTCAATGACAGAATAAGAAAGTGGCAAACCAAAGTAAGCAAGTGATAACCTATGCACTCAAACAGAAACCATATGACTGTGACACCGGCAAAAATGTGTGTTGAGATCTGCGTGTTTCGCCACAGTATGATATTGGCATCTGAACACAAAGAGATACACACAATCAACTACGAACGAGGAGATGAGGAAACCAAAAATGGATGTAAACACGGTTGATTCTTACGTTTTTCACCGCCAAGAACCAAGTGAAGAGGCTTCTGGCGTCCAAAGAGGTGATTCTTATGGGTCGAATGCAGCATGATGTACTCATCAATCTCAGTTTCAGAAGACGAGTCAAATTTCTCATTGTTATCATGGTCCTCGATCTCTTTGAGCAACTGTGAATCAAACCCATCCATTGGATCTTCCATCACAACGTCCTTTCCTGAGAGTTTAGTTTAGGAATAGGGACGGATGGTCCTGGTTGTCTTAAGTCTCTGCATGTTTTCAACATGAAACTGAAATATTCAACAAGGGAAGGCGAAAGGAGCGCTAGATGACCCCCTGAAACTCGCAACTGGGGAATGGCTGCACTATTTTTACCATACCATGCGCTGGCTTGCATTTCCTGAGCTTCTAATTTTAGTATTTCAGCCTACCATTAATTGCTATGGACGGATATCCTTAATTGGAAGACCATCTAATTTTATAAATATTTATCTTTATTAATAAAACAAGGTGTGGGCTATTTTTATTTTATTTATGCAGCATGATTAATCACAATAATAAGGGGCAACACCGTCCGTTGAGCAGGATGGAGAGGAATAGATTATTCATCATAGATAACAGGCATGTACACCAGGTGCCAAGTGCAAAGGAATGGGACGAGCAATGCGAATAAGTAAAATTGCAGCAACACTCATCATCATATATATAGCTTCTCTTGAAAGTTGAAGCAGGAGGAAGCCGATTCTCACTGCTTATATAGGTTTGCTGATCACAACGTCTTTATCAAGAGATCAACTCCACGTTCTGGCTCTATGACCAGCCTAAGAGCGGGCGAGTGAATGTATTTGGGTGAGAGGGAGAGAGAGAATTGTGACAGAATGAGAGCTATCAGTATCTTGATTTCAGCAATAGCCAAGTTCTGTCCAAGACACATCCGAGGCCCAACACCAAATGGCATGTATAGGTGTGGGAGCTTGCAAGCGCCTGTTATGCCTTTTGCAAATCTATCTGGGTTGAACCTGTATGCATCCGGTCCCCACACTTCAGGATCAGTATGCAGTGTCAGCACCATTGTCCACACATTCACACCCTTGGGAACGGTAATGCCCCCAAATTTCATCTCCTTAAAGGCCTCCCTTGACACCACCGCCACTGGTGGATAAAGTCGCAACGATTCATGAATCACCATATTTAGCTGCATAGCAAAAGAATTTCTTATATTTTTCAAGTGTTCCTCGAAGCTTATATGCTTGGACTTCGAATTATATATTTGGAATGTAATTTTTAAATGACCTCAATTAGTTAATAAATCTTGTAATGAAACACTAGTGATTGTGATACCTGTTTCATCTTGCGAAGCATATCTGCGTCTGGAAGACAACCTGATCCACAGACTTCAAGAACTTCTGCACGGACACGATGCTGCCATTCTTGATTTGCAGCCAACAGCATGAGGCACCATGTGGCAGAAACTGCTGTAGTCTCATACCCTGCCAAGTATATATTCTTGCAGTTATCAACAATGAACCGGTCCATTGCATCCTGTCCCAGGTTGCTAGTTTTGGTACTCTCAAGGACCATTTGCAAGAGATCCTTCTCATGTGCAGTTTCCTTTCTCTCTTTGACTATTTCGAGTATCAAATTGCGGACGTCTTTCTCTAACGCCCATGCTTCTCTATTGTTCTTGGTGGGAATATATCTGTAACAACCGATCACCAATCCATTGCTAATTTTGTTTAGAAAAAGATATCAAAGCGAAGTATTATAGGTCTTTAAATCTCAAGAAACGGCTAATTTACCTAATGCCAGGAATTCCAGTGGATAGACTTTTCTTGGACATAGCCTCCTGAAGAGCTCTTAGTCTCGAGAAAATTTCTGCTCCTTCGGAATAATTGCTCCCAAAACAGGCTCTAGAGATAACATCTCCGGAGAAGCTTCTCATACCCTCGTCAATTTTGATCTCTGCTACTCCACCCTCTTTATCAATTCTGCTCTTCCATGAGTTTAGCAGCGCAGTGGTGGATTCAATTATCAAGCTCATCATTCCCTGTAGGCCAAGATTTGATCTATCAATCCATTTTTGCAAGAGGTATCTAATAAAACGAGATTTCTTGCGAGTAAACAAGATATATGGGGTAAACGATGTTACCTTAACCTTGTCACCGTATAATTCAGGGGCGATGATTTTCCTCTGATGGGCCCAAACTTTCCCATTTGAAGTCAGAATGCCCTGACCAAGCAAAGAACCGAGTTCTTTCTGCTGATATGAAGGCTTCCCAAATTCTAACGATGTGCATGTACTAATTTCTCTCACCACATCAGCCCGGCTCACGTATAATATTTGTGTGTTGCCCAACGAAAATACAAATACTGGACCTGTACTTACAGATTACATAACATTAATTAGAATTATGAGGACGGACTGTACAAATGAAAAGTTGATAGACATGGGTGGGGAGTATGAACGTATAAATATGTGCTTAAGTATATGGTGTTGAAAAGTGTTATTTGGCTATAGTACCATATTGCTTCCTCCATTGCTCAAAAAATGGAAAGAGGGTAGCAGCACAGTTGTGGAAAACCGGTGGTTCATTTGTAGAAGCCTTTACTGTTGTGGATTGAGACTTCCTGATCTCGCTTATGTTTCCAAGCAGCAGGGATGGACTTGGTCCCCTAATGCCTTGCTTCCTTAGTACAGAACGAAGCCTTTCTGGTTTTAGCACCAGCCCAGAATACAAAAGCTCTAGCAATCCAAGAAAGGTTATCACTACTGCAAGTGAAATGAGTAACACAAGTTCCATATCAACAGAGGTTTACCTCTCCCAGGATTTAATCTAGTGTCTTAGCACTCTGTCTCACGTACGTTTGCTAACACAAGCAAAAAGATTACTTCTAGCTAGAGGGCTTATGGATGTTAGCGATTACCTCCAAGCCACCTTATATAGAGTTCACAGTATAGGGAAATTTCGTCGTGCAGAGAAACAGAACATGTCAGATATACATGCAACAGAAACAGCACATCATGACGGTCAATTCATCCAGGAAAAAGAGTGATATCATGAGTCATGGCTTGGGTCAAGGTGTTCTCGAGTAAATCACTTCTTCAATGTAAAATGGAGGTCATTAATAGAACAAATATATATATATATATAAAGAGTGTAAAGGTAAAGCACGACGAGACTTTATATATAAGACGGTAAAGGTCAAGTACGAGGAGACTTTACTTGTACTAAAGAGACGGACGAGTTTATACCTGTATGGTAAACTGTTCGCACACATACAAATCTTAATTTTGGGAAACAAAAATAGAGCTTCAATAATGGATTAGAGAAGTGGGAAAACTCTTTTTTTTTTCCTATTTTTATTGGAGTTGCATGGTGTCTTCTCTTTTTGTTTTTAGAAAAGTTGCATGAAGTCTTCGTCCACCTCTCAAATCATTTTCTTCACGGGATGGCCGCGCTACTGTTTAAACAACAAGGAATTAGCGAGAACAGCCAGCAAAGACACGCTGGTAGTTAACAGAGGTGACGAATGGCCAGGGCTTTCATTTTCTCATCAATGTTTGGCATCCGTGGAATGATTATGAGAATGATTCGTCGTTTGCATCTTATTCCTCCAATAGTTGCATGATGACCTAACCAAACCACCCCGGTTTATCCAGGAAAGCACCGCAAGGGGAGAAAAAACTGTCCAAGTCCTGGTACATGAACTTAGAAAGATTTATTTAAGAAAAAATCAAATTTTACTGATATACCTACCAGCTTGAGTTGAAATTAACAATATTATAAAACACGTGGGGGTGGGGGAAAGTATGTAGTTTTTTCTATATATGTTTTCGGTTTTTTCATTTTTAAAAATTATCTTTTTCTTTTTTTTGTTTTTATATTTTTAAATTATATTTATTAATTTAATTTTTTAACTATTAAACTAGTTGAAAATTTAGCTTTATAGTTTTTTACTTTGAAATATTATCGATTACTGCAGTGTTTCTCTGTATAGTTTTTGTTTTATTACAGTATTTTTCCACATGTTTTTTTCTATAATTATCTTTGTTGAATTTATTTTAAAAAAATTGAGATGATTAAGAATTTAACTTTGTAGTTTTTTCTTTAAACATTTTAGATTGTTATAGTGTTCCCTCACATGACTTTTATGTTTTTTTATAATTTTTTTTAAAATTATTTTTATCAAATTGTTTTAATATTGAGTTGGTTAAGAATTATAATTGTAGTTTTCCTCACAAAACATTGTGAATTGCTATAATGTTTTTCTATATGGATCTTTTTTTAAGATTTTTGTTTTTTTATATGATTATTTTTAAAACTATTTTTGTTACTTTTATTTTTTTTAATACTAAACTTGTTAAGAATTTAGTTTTGTATTTTAAAAAAACATTATGGATTGCTACAATCATTCCCCGTATATTTTTTTGTTATAAATTTTTTTTAAATTATCTTTGTTAATTTTATTTGTTTTATTAAATTAGCTTGTAACATGTATATGTTATCATGAACTTATAAAAAGATATTGTAATTTATAAAAACAATTGAAGAAAAAATTACAAAAATGATTTTTTAAAAAACTAAAAAAACCATGTAATATAGAATTGTCAAAGAACCATCTCACCTAAAAGCTTAAGCTTTTAGGTGAGGCTCTAGGATATGAGTTATATTATTTTCTAACACACCCCCTCAAGTGAAAGTTCTTTGGGTTTGAAACTTGCACAGGGTCATATTACTTTGTGTTTAATTTTTTTTATCAAATAAATGGGGATTGTGAGATTTGAATTTGAGATTATTTGGTCATTAAGGCTATGATATTATATCAAAGAACAATCTTATCTAAAAACTTAAATTTTTAGGTAAAATTTTAGGATATGATTTATATATTTTTTAATAACGGATGTCTACAGATCATTTAATTTAATTAATTCAGTAGCGAAGAGTCACCTCACAGCTAGATGGCTGTCAGGTCAAAGATGGTCTCGTGAATCATGTCCATCCAATATTTCTTCAAAGGAAAGAATGCAGCTGCCCCACTGAAATTACGAGGAGGAATCCACGAAGTTCCTACTGCGCTTCCTCGAGGTTTAATTTTTAGCATGAAACACGAGCAGCAGCGCGCAACGCATCTCTGGTCTTCGTTGAGTCTGCTTTCGCACTTGTGAAGGCTTTAGATGGTCAGGGTCTTCGTTGAGTTTGCTTCACGCTTGTGGCCCTCTCCTTCCATGCAAGCGACCTCCTGATTAATCATCCTCGGGGGATTAATTAAACTTCTAGGTAGTCTCCGGGCTATAATAATATGACACCGAGCTGTTTTAAGCAGTAAGAGTAATAGCGTCAATATCAATTTTTTAAAAATTATCAAGAGTATGAAAATATTTTAAATATAATATTTATAACAAGCCCAAATAATTTGTGGTTTGTGTCTTGTAGCTATCCTAGACTCAAAAGCATCCAAGCAACTTGGATCATACAGTTATATTTATTCAATTAACTTAAACCTAGTAATAATATCGGATTCAATCACATTGAATCTAGTAGTTATATCAAATAAAAAATTTTATGGTTTAACAATTTTGCTAGATTTATCAGACCCATATAGATAAATATACCAGACCAACATTACTTGTGTCTAACACTCAAGTAATTTGAGTTTTTTTTATTTGTCAGACCCAAGTAAATGTGGATCTAATATAGCTTTTGAATATTAAAAATAATAAAATAATAATTATAAAAAATTACACGAAAAATAGTGTGAAATAATAAAAATATCCTCATATACAAAGCTTCTTTTTTTTCTTTTTCAAAGCTAAAAATATATTTTAACTATTTAATAGTTTGTGAAAAGTCAAAGAACTCTTAAGCAACAAGTCTTAATTTTTTTAATCTTGAAGGTAGAGTAATATTTTTATTATGCAAATAATAATGAAAAAGACTACCATACTTCTATTAAAATGTTTAATGATCATTGAGCCTATGAAAAATACTGAAAAACCCGCACAACCAAGGCTTCAATTTTTTCAACCAAAAGGCAAAATGATAGTTTAACTTTTATGAAAAAATAACATTAGCCTTATCTCAAGCCTTTAGACCTTGAAAAATGCACTATGCAAGTATACAATGGACTTTGTCTTGATCCATAGTACTCTTACATAGGGTTGTCAGACCCAAGCGTCTGAGTTTCACACTAAATATAGTTGTCAAACCCAAAGCATTTAGGTCTGGTGTGGTTGTCAAACCCAAAGCTTTTTTATTTTGGAATAGTTGTTAGACTCAAGTAGTTTAGATTTGGTATGTTTGTCAAACCCAAAACACTTGTGTCTGATGTGGTTATCAAACCCAAGGCATTTGGCCCTAGCGTAGTTGTCAAAATCAGGCGCGGGTCTAACATTGTTTTGGGTCTGACCTAGCATGGGTCAACCCAAAAAAATTTTAAAAAAAATATTCAAGGCATTAATATTTTATATGAAAAAATTAAAAAATAATTCATGTGAATATAAGCTAAAAGACTATTTCAAAAGATTTTTTTATCCTATATTGAAAAGATATTATCTTATCCTATTAAGTTGAATTATTTAAACCAACAAGGTTTTTTATCCCACATTAAAAAAAAAAAAAATTTCTTGTGAACATAGAGTATATATATTAATGGACTTTAAATATCACTTTTAAAAAAATAAAATATTTTTTTAGTATTTATATAGTGAATTTTGATATGGGATAGCAACCAACTGAAAAGGATGAAAAAGCAAAGGTCTCTAGTAAAGGAAAAAAACACATTTGAGAAAGAAAAAAAAATCTTTATCGGTTTCTACTGGGTCACTTGAGTCCTGAGTTGACCTATCGTGTTACACCAAGTCTGATAACAATACTTAAACAACAAAAATTAAGCTTGAAAGTGTTAATTATAATTTATTCCTTTTTTCTTTTGTTTAATAAAATCAGTTAATTAATCCTTAAAATTTCAAAATATAGATTAAGGTTTGCTTTTGCACTATTATTTTTAAATTTTATTTTTGACCTAAGTGTCTGGGTCTGATAACCATTACCAGACCTATACACCTTTTTTTGAATATCAAACCTAAAACATTTGGGTCTGACAATCATGCCTGATCCAAGTAGCTTGGATCTAGTATGGATGTCAAACCCAAGTCGTTTGGGTCTAGAATAGTTGTCAAATTCAAGTATCTTGAGTCTAATGTGGTTATTAGACTCAGGCATTTGCTTGGCATTGTTGTCACAGGTATTCCTAAAAATCACTCAAATTTTTTTATTAATCTCTAATTTTTATGTAGAAAGCATTTACAAAATTACACAAATTAAGATAGTGAAAAGGAAAATAAATCTTTTACATATATAGTATTTTCTTTTCTTACAACATAATATATCAATTCAAAAGTTTTCTTTTATGATCATATATTTCTAATTTCTATATATACTAATAGTTATAATGTAAAATAAATTATTTTTATAATACAATGATTAAATCATGCAACAATATCTTAATTTTTTTTTTAAAAAAGCATGAATTCTTTAAAAAACTATCAACTACTTAGATGAAAATATAAAATTAATATTTTTATCCATAATGTATACAAAAAAAAAAAGTTTATTTTTGAAGACTTGAAATAAATCACTTAGAACTCAATATTTTTTCTTATTTTTTCCTCTTCAAATATAACAAATTTATAAAATAAGTTGCAGAAATAAAAAAGAGTTTATAGTTAAATTTTATTATATATGAATAAAAAATTTTACTTTAATGAGATAATGTTTGTTTTTACAATCTAGTTATGTTTTTGAGAAATTTTAAATATTTTAATTTAGATGTTTAGGTTTGGCATGATTGTTATATCAAGGCGTGTAGGTTTGGCATAATTGCTAGGCCCAAGGTACATGGGTCCAACAACTATATTAGATCTAAGTTTCTTGAGTCTAACAATCATGATTGATTTGATAAATAACAAATGAAAAGGATAAATATATACTTTAATTTTTAGAAAAGAAAAAAAAATATAAATAATTAATTATTGACAGCAATCCAATCATTATTTGTTTACAAATATCATATCTTTAAGAAAAAAACATGGTTATATATTTAGTGAGATAGGAGATAGATAAATTTATTG